AACACACACAGTAGGAGACACAGGCCCAGGCCCATGTCTGCAGCAAAGAAATCCATGGCCAGCGCCATGCCCAGCTGGGCCTGAGCAGAGGAATCCTCTCCATCATGCGGGTTCGCTACAGTGACCCCACTAGCCTGACTTTCCTCATCATCAACCAGGGAGGGGCAGCTACTCTCTGGGGGCAGATTGATTTATCCAACTAATTAGCCCCAATTAATATTAATACACATTCTTGAGAACGGCAGCAGCTCGGGCAGAGAAGCTGCCCACCGGGCTATCAACCACCACCCAGGGGACTGCAGAGGACACTCAGGAACTCCGGAGCATGGGGACAGCCCCTCAGGCACCGTCCCCAGCCCCCAGGCCAGGGCTTCTGGGGAGAGATTGCCACCATCAGCTGGGTACCCTGAGATTCAGTCTGCCCCTCCTGCTTGGGCAGTCGGGGAGTCCCAGTCCCCGAGAGAGGCCGTCCCTCCCAGCCTTTGGCCCATACGGAGAGCTGCAGGCACAGAGTAACACTGTCCCCAACGCCTTCTGAGCCTCCCTCTGCCACCCCTTGCAATCCCACGGCCCTGCCAGCCAAGCCCCCCTGTACCTCCCTCCCAAGGCTCCAAGCCCCTCCACAGATCCGAAGCTTCCTGGAACGCTCAGCTCACTGGCCCCATTACTTTGCCTCTATTAGGTCTCAGCAAACATCTGCAGAACCAAATGGGGGTGGAGAGAGGCCGGCCAAGGTCCCTGTCCCACAGGGGGTTCGGGTGTGTCCGGCTGAGGGAGGTCTTCCTCCTGCCCCAGGCCACTGCATATTCCCGCCAGTTCTTGGGTGTGGTGCCTGGCCGGGAACAGCCCAGCAAACATGCTGCCCTGGATTCAAGGGGACAGATGTACACGGGAGGAGGAGGAAGTGACATTGATGCGAAGGGCGGGTCTGGGGAGTGCTGGGACAGGGGGCCTGTGTACCCAGCTCCCTGTCTTGGGGTGGGGTCCAGTCCCAAGCAGGTCAATCTCCTGGGATTAAGAGGTGGCTGCAGACCCACCTCCACCCATGGCCGCCTCAGAGGTTCTTCCTCTGCTGCTCCCTGTCCCAGGAGGTCTCGATGGTCCCTGGCTGGAGGTTGAGGGAGCCCAGAGTCCAGCCCAGCAGTCCCCAGCAGGGCCAGCAGGGGGCGCACGACCACGGAGGCGGGCAGCCGAGAGTCACTTCAGAGAGGTCCTGTGTGGGCACATCCACCACTTAGCCTGTTTCCCAGGGGGTGGGGAGCCCCCAGGGGTGGGAGCTTAGCCTAGGGGACTGCTAAATGTTAACCCTAAGTGCTTTAGGTTTCATCGGTGAATTGCCCTCTTCCTCTTCCCAGAGCAGCTTACCATGGTCTTGCAAGCATCCCTAATCCTGAGTTTATCTATTTTTTTATTAAAAAATTTTTAATAGTGAGACACTATGAGGTACAGTTGCAGACTTACAAATTTTTGTGGTTGGGTTTCAATTATACAACGATCAAATACCCATCCCTCCACCGGTGCCCATTTCCCACCACCACGGATCCCAGTATCCCTCCCACCCCCTATCCCCCCCATCCCACCCCGCCTCTGTGGCAGGGCATTCCCTTTTGTTCTCTCTCTCCTTTTGGGTGTTGTGGTCTGCAAAAGAGGCATTGAGTGGCAATCATGTTCGGTCTATAGTCTACATTCAGCATGCTTCTCCCATCCTGGGAGGATCCTCCCAACACCCTTTATTTGGTGCTCCCTTCTCTATCTGAGCTGCCTTTCCCCCTAGCATGTGTGGCTGGCCTCCAAGCCATGGAGTAAAATTCCTGGTACTAATCTCAGCCATTCTTGGGTGTTGTCTCCTATTTTGTTGCTTTATGTTCCCCAGATGAATGCAATCTTTCTGTGTCTATCCCGCTCTTTCTGAGTCATTTCGCTTAGCATGGTACTCTCCATGTAGTACCACTTGTATGTAAATTTCATGACTTCCTCTTTTCTAACAGCTACATAGTATTCCATTGTGTAAATGTACCAAAGTTTCTGTAACCAGTCATCTGTTCTCGGGCACTCAGTTATCTTTAACCTTTCCTTTGTGTCTTGCCTCTCATTGCCAGAGTTCCCCGAGTGAACTTACTTGGTTACTTCTGAGCCAAAATTTTCTGGTAATTCTGGACTGTGTATTTGCTGTGAATCACCTGCTTTTCTATTTCCCCTACAGCCTTCTTATATTTTACTACAGAGCAATGTTCTTTGCTTAAACAGAAGGACCGTTAATGCTGTGCTCCTAACCCTTGGGCGTTGATTAACTCTGAAATGTGTCTCTCTTGGGCATCTGTCATAATTACTTGACTCAGGCTTCGGCTGCTGTAATTCCAGACACGCCAAAAGGGAGGTCCCGCCGTGGGAGTGGGGTGGACCCAGGGTGAGCGGCGAAGCTGCCCCAGCGTCGGAATGAAACAGTCTAGAAAGCAGAAATGCACGGTCTTGATGCAAGCGTGTTATCACTTCAGAGACAGGACTCCCATGGGGAAGGACAGGCTGAACTGGCCGAGAACTTAGTAAGAGCCTTGCTTGCTCTGAGAGCCCAGAGAACTACATTTTGGAATCTGTACCTCTTAACTGTGTTTATCCAAGGAACTGCAAGTGTTAATTGTTTAATACGGATACTTTAAGGGGAAGGGAAAAGCAATATAGATGTCTCGAGGAGACAGAACATCTCCTTGAGTTGATCCCCCAAAAGAATCGCCTCTCTCAGAATGCTTTACCTCTGTAAATGACCAACCACGCCTACGTAACACTCCTTCACTTTGAGCCTCCTCGGATGTTCTGTAAGCATGCTAGCAGCTCTGCATTACAAGGGCCAATTTGGGGCTGGAGCGATAGCACAGCGGGGAGGGCGTTTGCCTTGCACGCGGCCGACCGGGTTCGATTCCCAGCATCCCATAGGGTCCCCTGAGCACCGCCAGGAGTAACTCCTGAGTGCAGAGCCAGGAGGAACCCCTGTGTATCGCCGGGTGTGACCCAAAAAGCAAAATAAATAAATAAATAAATGGGCCAATTTTACCGTAGTCTGTGGCCCCTGTCTCTTTGTCTCTCCGCTGGGGAGGCCTGGGGAGAACGGGAAGGAGGTGGCTCTCGGCCACGGGAGCATGCACTGTCACAGCCCCCCACACTTTGTGAATTCACAGTGACTGCCCTGGAGGATTTCCTGACCCTCAGGTCTGGCAGAGGTGGGGCTTTGACGGGATCAGCCTGAAGAGGAGCCCCCCCAGGCAGGTGACCAGGACGCAGGGTTTTCCCTAACAGTTTTAGGGGACTCCAAATTGTACTTGGAAAGGTCCCCCAGTTGCCTCCTGATAGACAACAGGAGAAAGCCGGTCTGTGGCCAGGGCGAGGGGCAGAGAGTCAGGGGTTGAACCCTGGCATTGGCGGGGCAAGTGGTACTGGGTCACAGGTCTGGCCTTTTTAGGGGGGCAGAGGTTGGGGGTTTGCGGGAACTGCATGGCCCTGAGCACTGCCAGGAGTGAGCCCTGAGCACCAGAAAATGCCTGTGTGGCCAGAGCAGAGTAAACCAGAGGAAGAGACACCCCAAAGGCAGTGGAGCGTGGGGAGGGGTGAGGGCCCATCAGATGGGTCTGGAGACCCCAGAGGAAGCGGAGTTTCATTCGGGGAGGAGGAAAGCCGTTGAAAGGCCTTAGGAAGTGACTCGGCCGTCTTCGTAGTTTTTTGAAAGGGCTGCGAATAAGACCCAGGACTCCCCAACACAAGACAAGCGTCCGCCACTGGGCCATGGGCAGATTCACGCTTCTGAAGGCTGCTCTGCCTTCTGGAGAGTGGACCAGGGGCCAGGCTGGGTTAAGCGTCAACGCCTGAGCCCAGGGCTGGCGGGGGAGTGAACCAATGACCCTGGAAGGAATGAAGGAGAGGTGCCCAGTGCCCTCTGCCTCCTCAGCCCTCCCCCCACACACACACTCAGCAGCCTGAGAACACGGGCACCTCAGGGAACAGAGAAGGGGCAGGAAAGTAGTTCTGGTGAAGGCTGGGAGGGTGCTGACATCACAGCAGGGAAGCTCTGGGCTTGGCAGCTGACAGACGCACCCCCACCCTGACTAGGTGCCTGGCCTGGGTCCTCCCTCGAGCCTTTCTGCCCCGAGTGGCCCCACCCAGGCAAAGCAGAAGGGGCAGGTGCCACTGGGTGTGTCACCTGAAGGGGAAGCCCTGGAACGTCTGGGTGACCTGGCAGAAGCCGGGAGCCTCCTGGCCAGATCAGCCTGAGCTGTTTCTGCCAGCAAATTAGGGAATGAGGCCAGGGCTCAGGGAAGAGCCGGGGAGCTGGGGGACAAGGCAGGGGCCAGCTGCTCTCCCACGGGCCCAGAACCGGAGACGCCTCCCGTTCACGTTCAACTCCCAAACCTGGCTCAGCCTCCTGCCCTGGCAACTAGGACCCTGGAGCTTGCGGCGCCTCTCCTCCAGGAAGCCCTCCTCTCTGCGCCGGCATGATCTTTGGAAGCACCCTACTGCCCTGGAGATGGGATTTAAGCTCCTGAACTGGCCCCCCAAGTCACCTTGATTTGGTCCACCTCCAGCTCTGCTGCCTCTCTGGTGCCCAGTAGACACCTCCCTCTGCCCATCTCAACCTGGTCCTCGGGCAGATGGTTCCTTCTCACTGGAGATCCGTGTTTCTGAGCTCAAGTCTTGGGGAAGCTTCTAGACTCCTCGTAGGTCCTCCTCCTCTAGGAAGCCTTCCCAGACCAACCCACCAGACCTCTGTCCTGTGATGGCCTTCCCAGGTCTCCTAGCCCCGGCTCAGTGTTGGCTCCCCAGACTCACTGTGGGCCTGGGCTGACCCTGGGCTGACCACGGAGGACAAAGATGCAGTGAGAGGGCTGCTGCCACCAAGGAGAGTCAGGGTGTTCAGAGGCGGCCCCCACGGTGGTCACTGCACCAGGCACAGGAGTCAGCACCCCCAGCTCTGGGGCTGAGGCCAGCACCTTCTGGAGTAAGGAAGCATCTGAGCTGGGTGTCAACGATTTAATCGAAGAGGAGCTGCGGGCATCCTGGGCAGAGGGCGGGGCAAGAAAAAAGGCAACAGCCTGCAAAACGGGATCCAGTCTGAGTGAGGGGCAGTGTGGGGGGCAGGCCAAACTCCAGAGGCCAGAGTCCACCCTGCGGGGGAGGGGAACCAGGGGCATTTCCGCAGCAGGAGACCGACGTGGCTGGTGCCAGACTCTCGAAGGCCCGGTCCGGAATTCTGGAAGGCTCTGGGGTCCGGACAAGGCAGGCCAGAAAGGGCACAGATGAGGACGGGCTGTCCACATGCCACACCCACAGGCTGCCACGGGTCTCGACTCGGGGCCTGAGCGTTGTGCGGGGGTCAGGAGGGGACACGTGGAAGCACCAGGCCCAGGCTGAAAGATTCCTCGCAGTGGGTGGCCGTGCCTCGGGGAGGCGTGGACTCGGGTCCTCAGGACAGCTGCTTCTTGGGTGTCATCAGTCGCTCGACCTCCCGCATGAACCGCAGACACAGCTCTTCCTGCCAGGGCAGGGCCACGCACTGCACGGCGACAGGCAGCCCCACGCAATTCCTCATGGCCTGTAGGGGACGCAGGAATCAAGGCCCCGGCCCCGTGGGCCCCACCACCTGGTGAGCAGCTCCGTCCCGAAAGGCCCCACATTAGGAGTCAGGGCCCCGGCTCGAGGGAGGGTGCGGTGAGCCCCGACACACGCGGGAGTCCAGCCTTGGCCACTCTGCCCCCGCGTGGCCTCCAGCAGCTGCCTCCACAGCAGCCGGAGTTGGGGTGCAGGGGTGAGGGAGCCCAGGGGAGAAGAAAGCGGAGCCCCACCTTCTTCAGCACGTTGTCCCAGAGGTCCCCAAAGTAGCCCTGGTACTGCTCCATCTGGGCCTCGTCCTCGCTGGTCACCGTGGTGACCGGCACCACACCCGCCGGGAAATCCAGGCAGTTGTAGAGCAACGTGTAGCTGACAGCCCCTGAGGCACAGCAGGAGGCGCTGGGGGAGCAGGGGTGAGGGGGCAGGGGAGGGGAACGACGCCTCCCCGCCCCTCCGCTCTGGCCCTGGGTTCCTCGGCCCGTGGAAAGGTGTCCTGTCGCCTCCGATGCAAGAGGCTCGAGTCTCGGAGCCCAGGAGGCCAGGCCCGGGCGGGCAGCAGAATCAGATGGGGTCCGAGTCTCTCTCACCCGGGCTGCACACAGCAAACTCCAGGGCTGGGAGCTGGGTCCCCCGGGCTATGCAGCCCCTCCAGTCAGCCAAGGATGGTGGGGGAGCCTCCCCCGCCCCAGGACCCCTCACCTCTGTCCCCAGCAGTGTCCCGAGATTCAGGGCTAAACTCAGGGAAGAGAAGGGACGGGCCAGGGAGTGGGGGCAGGGCTGGGGGCCTCACCTGTGGCATGGCCGGGGGTATTCAGGTCCATGGCAGGGCCCAGCATGGGGGTGAGCAGCACGTCCAGTTCCAGCGCTTTCCACTGAGTGATGACAGAGTGGCGGTACATCTGCAGGGGTTGGGGGGGGGGGGCAGATGGCCACCTGGGCCTCACTGCTTGTCCTCCCACACCAGCCCTGGGCTGAAGTGGCACCTGCCTGGCCCTGAGCCTCAAGCGGGGGCCGGTCCTTGGGGCACCTGCTTCCAAGGTATCATACGCTGCCCCTCCCACAAGAACCCCCAAACACCCGGGAGCAGCCAGACAGCCACAGAGGATGAACAAGCCCTCAGGAGGGGCATCGGGGCAGGTGAGGACAACAGAACCCGAGGTGGTCAGTCCGGGGAGGAGGGGGCACCAGTGGGACCAGCGCTCAAAAGACATCCAGCTGGTGGGTGCCTTTCCCAACCCCCCACCAGCTGCCACACTCTAGCCCGGAGGTTCCAACTCACCTCGATCTCACGATGCAGTTCCCAGAGCTTCACCGCTGACCTGGGCAGGAGGAGGGAGGTCCCTGGTCAGGGGGCCCACAGCCAAGGGCACTAGGCAGGCTGGACCCTTCTCCGAAGCCCTCGCCCAGGCCATCTCAACGCACGGCTCTGCAGACGAGCAGCGGGGCTGGGTCCCTCGTCCACAAGCCACGGGGGCTCAGACCAGTCAGCTGGGGCCTCCATAGCAGAAACAGGACCGGCCTGGGCCTGACCCCTGCTCCCTGCCCACAGGAGCGCCAGAGCCGGCCAAGGCCCGAAGCTCGGAGCGAGGGCACAGACCATCACCGGAGCCTTCGGTCCTGGTTCTCCTGCTGTGCGGGAGGTGCCCTCTCTGTCTACAGAGGCCCAGGGGTCGCAGGCGTCCCCTCCCATGCCCCCTGACACGCCTCCTAGCCCTTCTCATCCGCGCCCCAGCAGGGCCAATCGGCTCCTCTGAACGCCCGCATCCCACGCAGGCCTGGCCCATCTACTGGCCCCGCCACCCACCGAGGCTGCCACCCTGCCTGGGCCACTCCGTGGGGGCCGCTTCCCTCCTCGGTTCCTGTCAGGAGCAGGGGGGTTGGTTTCGGGGGGCGGGGGGGAGGTTCTCACCGAGATCGCATGCTGCCGAGGAACCTGGCCAGCCTTGGGAGCTGCAGAAAGACGGGGGCTCAGCACAGGCCCCGGGTTCCGTCCCGTGTCCAAGCCCCCGCCCCCACGCCCGGGGGTAGCTCGGCACCCCTGCAGCAAGCGGGAGGGAAAGAAGCCCAGAGGCCCCTCCCCACCCTCCGCGCCTGCCTGTGTCCTCACCACGGGCTTCAGCAGGAAAGTGAACAGTCCTTTCACCCAGTTGGGCAGCTTCAGGATTAAGATCAGGTGCCCCAAGCAGGGGTCCACAAAGTCACCTTTGCTGAGAGACAAACGGCCTGTTCCAGAGCCACCCGCCACCCCCCCGCCGCACCCCTACTGTGGCCCCCTCTGTCCCCTCCCACCTCCCCGTTCCCTGGGACCTCTAGACTCCCACCCTCTTCACCTGCTCCTTTCCAAACACGTGGCTTGTGTCTGCTGAGCCTGCAGGAGACCCGGGGTCCACCCCGCACCCCTGCAGCTCCTCGAGGCAGAACTCGTGTGTCCGTCCCTGGCAAGCTCAGCCTGGACAGGGCAGGCCTGAGAGCACAACCCCCTGCCCAGGGCTTGGCTGAGGTCTCCCCCACAGACAGCGGGTCCGGAGGCCTGGGGCTATTGGGAGCAGAAGGCCCTGGCGCTCTGGGTGGTCCCAGATCTCGGGCAACAGATGCCCGCGCCCCGAATCCAGAGCGAGTCACTGGGGGCCTCTGGCCAGTCCAGACGCACAGCCGGGAAGCACCTTCACAGGCCTGGGTCCGCCTGACGGCTCTGAAGAACCAAAACCGTTCCCGCGGAAGCGGCTTCTCTAAACGGTCCCTTCACATGGCTCTGAGCCCAGTCCCCCGCTTCAGGGAGAACATGGGTCTCCTGCCCCCAGGGAAAGAGCAGGCTGACATCAGAGGGCGCAGGGCAACCCCGGGCCTCTCCCTCCCCCCACGCTGCCCTGGTCTTAGCCCCTCCAACAGGCAACTTGGCCCACACCAGCCTCCCAGCAAGCTCAGCTCAGGGCTGAACCATGCATGGGTGCTGATGCCTCCCTGCTGCAGCAAAGGCAGCACCTTCCAGAGGCTTCCCAGCCTGTCACCTCCAGGCTCCCCTTGTGCAACTCAGGCCTTCTCCCCGTTCAGCTCAAGCCCGTCTCCAGACCCGCTACCCCAGGGCCCCGGTCCCCGCTGCTCTCCCTGGCTCTGTCCCTCCGGATACCAGTCACCCCACAGTCACCGCCACTCACAAGTTCTGCAGGAAGCTGTGGCCACCATCACTGAAGAGCCCGCCGGTCGACAGGACCTCCAGCGCGTAGGGGATGTCATTGGGCCGGAAGGGGACCAGCTGCAGGGGTCGCCGGGGGGGGGGGCAGGTCAGGAGGGCTGAGGGTGGGCCCGGGCCGGCCTTGCCCCCACGGCTGCCCTGAGTGGAGCCCCCCGGGGCAGGGGGCTTCTCAGCCACGGATCCAGGGGGGGTCCTGAGGCCAGGGAAGCCCAGCACCGTGCTCGCGCCTCTCACGTGCATCTCACACGCACAACCACAGGCACCGGCTCAGCATCTCTGGAACCTGCCCACATGTTCCCACCCCAGCAAACGCTCCCGCCTCCCCTGTCAGGTACCAGAGATGGCAAGCAGGGGGACAGTCCCTCCCCAGTGCAGCCGGGGTGCGGGACCGTACCGTGTGGCCAGCAGCCTCCAGACTCTGCTTGGTCTCCAGCAGGGCCCGCCTCATGGCCGGGGTGGGCCTGGTGTAGTTGTCCGTCTCATAGTAACCCACGCGCAGGGCCCGGGAGCTCCGGTAGACCTGCCGGTGCAACCCAGAAGGCTGGGTCAGGTCTGAGACCCAGGCAGGGCCCGGCGGGAGGAAGCCCCTTCTGCATCTGACCTTCCCACGGAACCTTAGCAGTGACCCTGCAGGTGGGCAACGTGAGGACACCAGGCAGGGGTTTCAGGTGCAGGCAGGGAGCGGGCCCCAGTGGGGGGCTAGACGGCCCACACTCCCACACACACAGTGACCACGAACCCCGTCTCCTGTCAGAGGACCACACTCTCCTCTGACCCTTTCAAGAACGTGAGTTCTGGGTCAGAGAGGGGACTCCAGGGTTGGAGCACATCCTCGGGATGCAGAAGGCCCAGGGTTCAATCCCAGACACCGCAGGTCCCCCCAAGCACAGTGGAAATAGTCTGAGCAAAGGACCATCAACAGGTATGGCCTGAAGTACAAAAATTCAAAAAAAAAGGAAAAAAAGAAAAGAGCGTGAATCTCCCCAAGGTTCCCCGCCCAGGAGCAGAGACCTCTCAGCCCCCTCTTCGGAGGGGCGCTCACCAACCCGAGTTCAGTCAGAATCCCCTCCTCTTCTGAGGGGTGGCCCGTGCCCCCTTCCAGAAATCTGCCCACCAGGAGCGACCAAGGGCCTCGTTCCTGTCCACGGACAGAGGCGACACAGCTGGGCGGGGGCAAGGACTGGTGCAGGAGCCAACGGAGCCACGTCCCAGGGTGTCCTACTCCACAGACGTGCCCATCACCCGTTTCCTGTGGCGCTCAGCCCCCCCACCCCCATGCTCCTGAGTGCTCGGCACATGACAGGCCAAAAGGACGCGTGGCAAGGCGCCTGCCTTGCGTGCGGCCAATAGCACTGCCAGGTGTGGCCCAAAATACTTCCCCACCACAATTTGTTTAGATAATGAAAAGTAAAAATAACTCATTCCCCAGGAATGGCTGAGATTAGTACCAGGAATTTTGCTCCATGACTTGGAGGCCAGCCACACGTGCTAGGGGAAAAGGAAGCTCAGATAGAGAAGAGAGCACCAAATAAAGGGTGTTGTGAGGACCCTCCCAGGGTGGGAGAAGCGTGCTGAAAGTAGACTGTAGACCAAACATGATTGCCACTCAGTGCCTCTCTTGCAAAACACAGGACCCAAAAGAAGAGAGAGAGAACAAGGGGGAATGCCCTGCCACAGCGTCAGGGTGGGATGGGGGGGGGATGGGGGGTAGGAGGGATGCTGGGACCCGTGGTGGGGGAGGATGGGCACTGGTGGAGGGATGGTACTTGATCATTGTATAACTGAAACCCAAGCACAAAAATTTGTAAGTCTATAACTGTACCTCATGGTGTTTCACTAATAAAAAAAAATAACTCATTCCTTTGGCGGGGCTAGGGGAGTGGACCACACTCTGCTGTGCTCAGGGATCACTCCTCGTGGGCCTGAGGTTAGCTGTGTACGAGCAAACGCTCTACTCCTTGGACCCTCAACTGTTCATTCTTGAAAGAACAATGCTTCAACAGAAACACTAAGTGAATGAATTAGTGAATCTTGGACCCCAAGATTCCTCAACACTCCTCACCTCAAAAACTTCCCCAGTCCCAAACTATTACATCATCTTCTTAAAATCATTTTTTGTTTGTTTGTTCTGGTGGTGCTCAGGTGTACTCCTGAGCACTCAGGAATCATTCCCGGTGGGCTCAGGGGAACATAGGGGATGCCAGGGATCACACAGAGGTTGGTCATGCTCATGGCAAATGCCCTACTCTCTGTACTATCACTCTGGCCCCCTCCTGTTAAATTTCTATTTCGCTTTTATTTGAAGGGGGTCCATACCCAGCAGTGCTCAGGGACCATCCCTGGCTTGGTGCTCGGGGACCCTGCAGTGCTGGGGACGGAGCCCGGGTCTCCTCTGTGCAAAGCCTTGAGTCCTGTCTCCGCCCCCCACCCCGAACCCCTCTTACCAGCGACTGGCAGAAGCAGAAAGTGGCAGAGTCTAAGAGTTGCGAAACGCGGGCGAGGGCTCCACCTGGCGGCTGCGTCGGGGGCAGCTGCTGACCCTGGCCTCAGATCCAGGTGGGCCGCTCTGTGGGCTCGGGGGTGCCAGAGGCAACTGAACGTGCCCCAGAGTCATCGCGACCCTCACTCACCTCCTCCCTGAAGGGCAAGGGGGGCACGGAAGGGTCCAAGCGAAACATGTCCTCACACAGCAGTGCTCGCAGGCAGAGCGCCAGACTCTCCACGTCCCGGGCCATGGGGCCGACGGAGAGCTGAACTGTGGGGCCGGGAAAGAGTAGACAGATCACGGGAGCCCGAGCAAAAGCCAAGGCCTGCGACGCAGAAAAGCCACTTGCACCCCGATGTTCACTGCATCACTATTCGCAGAGGCCAAAATCTGCAAACTGCCCAAGTGCCCAAGAACAGAGGATTGAGTGAAGAAAAATGGTCCCTAGACACAATGGGACACTGAATCATGCAATGTGCTGCTACGTGGATGGACTTCGAGGGCATCACGCTAAGTGAAGCTAGGCAGAGGGGGGCGGACAGACACCGAAGCATAAAGACACACAGTAGGGGAACAACTAATGACCGGAGGCAACAGGAACGGAGAGTGGGAGAACTGGTTCCAGGAGGAAGCTCACCGCTGGAGGAGCAGGTGATATGGCACTGGCAGAGGGACGTGGTCACTCTGGAGCAGGACGGGGTGCGGGAGGGAGGTACGAGGTGCCTGTCCCAGAGACAGGCAGGGGGTGGAGGGGCAGGAAGGAATCTGGGGACACTGGTGGGAAGATTAGAGTTGGAACGCTATCTACCTGAAACCCAAGCACGAATAACTCTTAATTTATGGTGATTCTATTTAAAGAGAGAGAGAGAGAGAGAGAGAGAGAGAGAGAGAGAGAGAGAGAGAGAGAGAGGTGTGCCACTGTCCAGGATGTGAGCAGAGACGGGGGAGAGGACTCAGACCCAAGAGGCCAGGGGGAAGAGGACAGGAAAGACCAGCAGACCCTCCCAGGCCCCTGCAGGGTTGGGGGAACCCCAGGCCTCACCTGCCAGCTGTCCATAGACACACCCCTTCAGGCCGCTCTTGCTGGATGAGAGACACAAGGCGTCAGAGAGGGGGCACAAGCCCCCTGCCCAGCCCCCCGCCACGCTAGAAACCAGGAATCGAGGCCCGCGGGGCTCCCTCCCCGCAAATCCCCAGGAGGAGCCCCAGAGCCGGGCCCACGGAGGCAGAAGCAAGGCCGAGGCCACGCGGCGAGCGGTCAGTCCCCAGGTGGCCCCCGCCCACCCCCAAGCGCTAACCTGAGGCGGTTCCCGGTGGGCTTGAGGCCGCAGATGCCGCAGAAGGCCGAGGGAAAGCGGATGCTGCCTCCGATGTCGGTGCCGAGGCCCAGCGGGGAGCCTCCTGCAGCAAGGAGGGCGCCCTCGCCCCCCGAGGAGCCCCCGGGGGTCTTGGATGACTTCCACGGGTTCAGGGTCCGCCCGAAGAGGGGGTTACTGCAGTCATAGCTGCAGGAGACAGGAATGGTCAGCCCGCGTCCCCCGGGCCCCTCCCGACCCGTCCCTCCCCCTCTGCCCACGCCCTCTGCCCAACCTGAACATGGACTGGGGGACGTTGGTGTGCACGAACGGGACGGCCCCCTGCAGCTTCAGCACCTGCACCACCACGCTGTCGCTCTCCGCCGGCACCCCCTGGTTCAGGCTCAAGCCCAGCGTCGAGTCCTGGCCCTAGCGGGAGGGACGAGCACCCAGAGCGCAGAGGCCGTGAGCCGGGGCCGCCCCCCCCACCCCGCCCTGGGCTGGCGGGCAGCGGGCCGGGCCGTCACCTTATAGCTGAAGCACTCCTTGAGGCTCACGGGGACGCCGTAGAGCAGGCCGCGGCGGGGGGCCTGGGTCATCTGAGTCTCGCACTCGCTCAGGTACGTGGTCACACAGTTGATCCCTCTGTTCACTTCCCAGGCCTGCGGGAGGGAGACAGGGACCGGCCGGGTGAGGCTGGCCTTGGTCAAAGCGTTGGTGAAAACAGTCGTGACCTGAACCTGGTCTCTTCGGAATGAACCGGGGGAAGAGTCACCGGTCGCGGGGCCCAGAGCCAGGAGCACAGAGGCGACGTACGGATGCAGCCGGTGCTGGGCGCTGGGGGCAGGGGGGCATCTGGTCCAGCCTCATGGCCGGCTCCGGCCTCCCACCTCTGCCTGGAGAGGGCGCCAGGGACGGGCCACTGATGCTCCTAGGAGGGGGGAACCCTGGGCCCCAGATCGCCCCCTCAGCATGCACTGGGGGACTCCAGCCCGCCCTCCCCAGGCACCCGTGACCCACGGGAAGATGCCAGCAGGGGCCGCACTGCCTCCCCAGAGCCCCCTTCACGCCACTTCTCGTGCACCCATGCAGGGGGCTCAGCAAACACCCAGGGAGCAGGCGCCAGCCCACTGGCCACATTCAGGCGCCCAACGGAGGGGCCCCTGCAAAGGCCGCCCTGGCACTGGATGACCGTGCGGGCCCGGACCACAAGCTTTCAGGGAATCACCGGCACGGCCCGCGCCCGAGGGACAATTTGCCTCGCTCTCACTTCATTTCAGACGCCCTAGCTAGGGGCTGGAGAGATAGCACAGCGGGGAGGGCGTTTGCCTTGCACGTGGCCAACCGGGGTTCGATTCCCAGCATCCCACATGATCCCCTGAGCACCGCCAGGAGATAATTCCTGAGTGCAGAGCCAGGAGGAACCGCTGTGCATCGCCGGGTGTGACCCCAAAAAGCAAAAAATAAAAGAAACCAGACGCTCTAGCTGAACACTGACTGGATGGGAGGCAGGGTCAGGGCCAAGGTGCGAAGGCAGGTAAGACATGCGCTCGGCCAGAGACGCCCGTGTGTGACGCGGACAGAGAAACACAAGCCCCATAATGTGAGGAAAGACCTGAGGGAACACCAGGGCCCGGAGAGACAGCACAGCAGGGAGGACGCTTGTCTGGCACGCGGCAGACCCAGATTCAAGCCCCTGCATCCCATATGATGCCCTGAGCACTGACAGGAGTCATTTCTCAGCACAGAGCCAGGAGTAAGCCCTGAGTGTCACTGGATGTGGTCCCAAAGCTAAAAAAAAAAACAGGGTGGGGGGAATACTAAAGAGGAAACTCTTGTATGTGCTGGGAGGTATGTGAGTCAGGGGAGGCTTCCTGGAAGAGGTGACGCCTCCCTGAGTTCCTGAAAACTAGGACAGAAGTCAAAGCAGTGGGCAGGAGAAAAGCCTTTTACCTTCCAGGCAAAGGAATCCCACAAGCCACAACAGGCACAACAAGGCCCCAAGTTCCTATGAGTTTGTGGCAAGGAGGGAAAGGTCAAAACTGGGGCATCCCCCACCTCAGAGGGCACAGGAGACGGGTGGGGAGAACAGACAGTGGTCAGAGGGGACCCCAGGGGGAACAGGCCCCAAAGGGGTAGAAGGAAGAAGGAAAAACGGGAACCTCTGTGTCCCTGTCTCCCTGTCTCTGTACACACACACACACACACACACACACACACACACACACTTGGTCCCCCAGCCCACAGCAGCAGGAATTCCAGGCCAGCTTTTCCCCACAGCCAGTGCAGCAGGGACCGAAGGACACTTACCTTGCCCACATAGGTGAAGAGGGCCACCTCAGGGGACAGCTCCCCGCTGTGCAATTTCTCTACCAGCTGAGGCAGGGGGAGCGCCAACAGGGCCTCTGAGTCCAAGTCCGGGTTCTGGGGAAACGCCCTGAGTCAGTGCCCTGTTCCCCACAAAACCCTGGCACCCATCCTCCACAGACAAGCCCTCTTCCACCGCTCTGCCAGCAGAGCCTGATCCGTCTCTTCTAGAAGTCTGGGCGGGGGAGGGGGCGCGGGATGACAGGTCACGGCCACCAGGTTGATCGGGTTGATCATTAAACCTTACCGACCACTGCCGCCAGCCAGCGGCCGCCCTCTGTTCCAGGCCCAGAAGCGCTGGGCTCCCGTCTTGCTACCATTCCTGCACCCAAGACCGCCCAAGCCTTGAAGTGTGAGGAAGCCCCCCTCCTCCCGGCCCCCCAGGAGCTGTGATTGAAAGGGGCTTGGGAGCGGCAGGCCCCCTGCTGATTCTCTGGGCATGTCTTCCCTCTCTGATGCAGAAAAACATTCCTTCTTCCTTCTGGAGCCTCCACGCCAGGCTTTCGGACACTCCAGCCTCCGCCCCTGGACACAGCCCTGCCCTCATCATCAGCTGGGCCCTGTGATTTTAAGGAATTTGTATCTTGGTCTCTGACATCTCTGGCCTTTGCCTACAGTGACCATCTCAAAACTCTCCCCCTGGGGCTGGAGAGATAGCACAGCGGGGAGGGCGTTTGCCTTGCACGCAGCCAACATGGCCAACCCGGGTTCGATTCCCAGCACCCCATATGGTCCCCCGAGCACCGCCAGGAGTGATTCCTGAGTGCAGAGCCAGGAGTAACCCCTGAGCATCGCCGGGTGTGACCCAAAAAGGAAAAAAAAAAACCTCTCCCCCAGAGCCCCGCAATTTCCTTATTGCTGAGTGATAAAGGTCACCAGCATTTAGGGAGAGGCCCCATGAGAGCACCAAAAAGAGGGACTTCAAAGGGCCGGAGCGATTGTACAGTGGGTAAGGTGTTTGCCTTGCCCAGGGCTGACCCGGGTTCGATTCCCGGCATCCCATATGGTCCCCCGAGCACCGCCAGGAGTAATTCCTGAGTGCAGAGCCAGGAGTAACCCCTGAGCATCGCTGGATTGTGATGAAAAGAAAAAAAAGAAAAAAGAAAAAAAGAGGGACTTCAAGCCAGGGTGAGAGTGCAGCGCAGAGTACAGCGCTTATCTGGCACACAATTGACCAGGGTATGATCCCCGGCACCATATATGGCCCCTTAAGGACCGCCAGGAGTGATTTCTGAGCACCAAGCCAAGAGTTAGGTCCTGAGCACTGCGGGTATGACCAAAACTAAAATATACCTTTGAAAAAAGGGGGGGTGCTTCTGGGTTAGGGAGCCCTGCATGACCCCACACTGCCTTGCCAAGGAAGACGGGCGCTCCTTCGTCCCAAGCCCTGACCCTCCCCATCTCTTCACCTGGTTGAGTCCCTCCGTGATCTAATGAGGAAACACATTTCCTGGGTCCTCGGACCCTCGGCAGCTGCGGAGGCACCGCCTGGGGTCTGCGGCCGGCTCTCCGGGCTTGGGCCAGGAGCCCTCCGTCTGCGGAGTGCCAGGACAGAGGACCTGAGAACTGCCCGGCAGTGACCCTCCAGGAACCCAGTGACCCTCCAGGAACCCAGTGACCCTCCAGGAACCCACGATGCCCTCCGTCCCCGGGGAAGGTCCCACCTGGTGTGGAAGTGGAAGACAGAAAGCAGCTGGACGCACCCTCTCCCTCCCTCTCCCCGAGTCACCAAATCCCCTCGGCGGCTGGGAAATGGCTACCACAGCCCTGGTTGCTAAGCCTGGCCGGCTTGTCCAGGCCTCCCTGCTCCCACCCACCTTTCCTACCAGGCCCCCGAGTCTGGGGATTTGCCTCAAAATCTTGCCAAACCACCAACTCGAGAGCCAGTGCCCAGAGGTGCCAGGTCCCATGAGGCCCCTCCACGGTCCATAACGGCCTCAAAATGCCACCCTGACACCTGGGAACTCCCTGTTCCTGTCTGCAGTTATCAACCCAATGCCAAGCTTAATTAGGTTGGTGCGATTGTTTGTTTGTCTTGTCTTTGAGTGAGGCTCAGGGTGATTCCTGGCAATGCCTGAGGTATCCTAGGAATTGTCAGGGATCCGATCCAGGCCAGCCATGTACAAGGCAAACACCCTTGTACCATCTCGCCAGCCCTGGTTGGTGTTTTATTGGGTTTTTTTTGTTTCTTTGTTTTTAAAGAGAAAGGGGCTAGAGAAATAGTCCAGAGGGTAAGGCGCTTGCCTGGCACACAGCCAACCTGGGTTCGATTCCTGGCATCCCATACGGTCCTCTGAGTCCTGCCAGGAATGATCCCTGAGCACAAAGCCAGGAGTAAGCTCTGAGCACCTCCTGATGTGGCCCAAAAACACACAGTAATTATTGATTACATATATATATTTTTTGCTTTTGGGGTCACACCTGGTGTTGCACAGGGGTTACTCCTGGCTCTGCACTCAGGAATCACTCCTGGCGGTGCTCGGGGGACCCTATGGGATGCTGGGAATCGAACCCGGGTCGGCCGCGTGCAAGGCAAACGCCCTCCCCGCTGTGCTATGCTTCCAGCCCCTGCTGATTATATTTTAAGAGACATACATGACCCGGAGCAATAGTATAGTGGGTAGGACACTATTCTTGCACGTGGCCAACCCAGGTTTGACCATCCCATATGATCTCCTAAGCCCTGCCAGGAGTAATCCCTAAGCAGAGTCAGGAGTGAGCACTGTCGTCAGGAGTGAGCACTGTCAGGTATGGCTCAAAACAAAACAAAACAAAAGCACATACAGAATTACCCAAGCCCTGCTGAGGTGGCCTTGGTGGTCCCAAGCTCCAAACGGCCAATCTTATGGCCCCCAGCCTCCTCATCAGTGTTTGGAGGCCTGGAAGTGACTCCTGACATTGTGGGCTTCCCTGTCGGGGCCACCCTGGAAGAGGCGGGGCGAGCAGGAGACACCCGGTGCTTCTCAGGAAACAAACTTCAGTTCTTGCTAATGAGTGGAGAAGATGAGTCTCAATCATCTCACTTCTCCCCAGATGTGTCTCTTTAAAGAACAGGGACGCAGTTTGGCGGTTAAGCACACCCCGCCCAGGTGTAAAGCCCTAGGTACAATCTTCAGCACTGCAAACCATTTTTTTAAATGCATAAACATCACACACTGGTCATTCTACAGGTCCCACATTCACACAGAACCTTTGTTCCTATGAAATTAGTCTTTTTTTTTCTCCTAAAAATCATTTTGTGTCAATTTTTATTATTTTCCCACTGAAAGGACTTAAAAAAGAATAGAGGAAAAACTTTCTTCCCCGCCACTATTAGGTCTGGACTGAAAAAGCAGCAGCAGAAAAGATCCTGAACTGGTCTCCAAAGCCCCCCTCCCACACCATTCTTGCATTCCAGAGTCAAGCAGAAAGGTACTTAAAGGGGGCAGAAGGGAGCTGACCCCCAGGGAGAGGCTTCATTGCTGGAACCTGTTTCTCCCTGTGACAGGTCAAGGTCTCCGTGTTAACTCCGAACCCATCCCTTTGCTAACTGCTCAGAACCAGGCGGCTCCAGATAGACCAGTATTTCTTCACTCCTTAAGGAAACCAAAGGTGATTCTCCGTGGCACCCCTCCAAGAGAGCCAGCTCTGAGGTTCAGTGGCCAGGTTCTCTTGTCCCAGGGAGAAATGGAAATAGTACTTGCGGGCAAAACCTTTTGCAGTGAAAGAGTCCTGACTTATTTCTTTGGCACCAGGGGCCAAACCCCAGGCCTCAACCGCTGAGCCTCTGTCACTGCCTAGCAGAGGAAGATTTTGTTTGGGTTTGGGATCCCATCCATCTACTCTTGGCTCAGTGCTCAGGGCTCACCAGTAGCTGTGTTTGGGAGTACCACGCAGTGCCAGGGATTGACCCTGGGTCTCCCGTATGCACAGTATACACTCAGTCCACTGAGCTCTTTCCTCAATCCTGCTGTGCAAGAAGAGTCTTACAAGCGAGATGCGGCTGATGCTTGGAACGGAAGGGAGGAAAGACTCATCCTTCTGCCTGTCCAGGAGGTACTTTGCAAGAAGGAGAGCAACCGTGGGCAGGATCCATGGGCGGATTCCTGCGGCTCTTAGAGCTGGCCGTACTCAGCACGCTGAGGCCACCAGGAGTGATCCCTGAGCACAAGGGCCAGGAGGAAGCCCTGAGCACAGCCGGGTGTGGCCCCAAACCCCAAAAACAAAATAAACAAGGACTTAGGGGCTCACACTGACACGGCAATGACGGCATGGGTTGTGCGGGGCCGCTCTGAAGCGGAGCCGGAGAACTCGATGATGAGGAAACGAGGCTGGAGTTGGGGGGCTGGGGAAGGGCGCAGGCAATTCAGACTGGACGCCCAGGCCCCTCAAAGTGGGAGGAAGGGACTCCAGAACCGGCTGATGGTGGACCTGTCAGCCGTCTCGACAAGCGAAGGCGGAAACCGGACACATCTGGGTCTCAATAAATAATGGTGGCATCAACTTGTCACACGCTTACATGTGTCCGAACCCAGCCGCTCCTCTGACATGAAGCTAAGCACCGGGGTACGGGCTCAACTCTGCCCCAAGCTCAAGGCTGACCTGTGCGGGACACTCACCCAAGGGGATTCTCCCTGGCTGCCCCAGGAAAGCCCCCTCGACTCCTCTCCCCGGCACCTGGGAAGCCTGTCCAGCTGTCAGACCCGAGTCCTGTCAAATACCTGCCCCGACTCACATTCCCAGTGAGCTGAGGGGGACGGGGAGACTGGACAGCAAACCGGACGTTTCCCTTGAATTGCTGGACCTCCAGGTTCCATCCCCAGGACCCCTGCCAGGAGTGATCCCTACGCACAGAGCACAGAGTCAGGAGTGAGCACTTGAGCACAGGGCGCAGGCCCCCAAACAGCCCCAAACTAAACACAAACAAACAAAATAAGACGAAGAAGAAAAGAAGGGGACAGAAGAACTAGCAGAGATCAGCATTTTGACCAGCGAGGTCAATCCCCTCCTCCGGGCGCTGCCCCAGCCCCCACGCAGACCCCCAGCAATCCAGAGGGCGAGGGAGAAAGGCCCGCAGGCAGACCACCGCGACGGGCTGGAATCAAACCTGCCCCAGAGCGGGTCGGTCGGAGCTTCGGACCGAGCACGTGGGCAGGGTTTGCCGCGGGGGCTTCCACCCCTGCGGGCTCGGGGGACGCCCCGTGCGCCGGCCACCGGGCGAGTCCCTTTGCGCCGCCCACGCCCGCCCCGCGCAGGGTCCCCCGGCCCAGATCTGGGCGCCCGGGCTGCAGGTCGCTCCGACCCCCGGGCCACCGATCCCTGACTCCGCGGCCCCGAGCCCGAGCATCCCGCCTCCTCCCGGGCACGCAGGTCGCAGGTCGGGGTGCCAACTGACAGCCGGTGGCCTCGAGGCTCCGGGCACCTGGCGGAGCTGCTCTCCGGCCCCCCCGGGCCTGCCCCGTCCCTCCCCGGGCGCCGCCTGGACCAGAGAGCGGACGAGCCCCTCGGCGGGCGGGGGACGGTGAAAGCCACCGACCCGCGCGGCCCCCAAAGCCCCGCGCGCCCCCCACCTGCGCCCCCGCCCCCCCCCGCCCTCCACCTGCGCCCCCCACCTGCGCCCCCCGACCCACCGCGCGCCCTCCACCTGCGCCCCCGACCCCCCGCCCTCCACCCTCGCCCCCCACCTGCGCCCCCCGACCCACCGCGCGCCTCCACCTGCGCCCCCGACCCCCCGCCCTCCACCTGCGCCCCCCAACGCCCCGCGCGCCCTCCACCTGCGCCCCCCACCTGCGCCCCCCGACCCACCGCGCACCCTCCACCTGCGCCCCCGACCCCCCGCCCTCCACCCTCGCCCCCCACCTGCGCCCCCCGACCCACCGCGCGCCTCCACCTGCGCCCCCCACCTGCGCCCTCAACGCCCCGCCCTCCGCCCGCGCGGCCCCCCAGCGCCCCGCGCGCCTCCACCTGCGCCCCCCACCTGCGCCCCCCGACCCCCCGCGCGCCCTCCACCTGCGCCCCCGACCCCCCGCCCTCCACCTGCGCCCCCCACCTGCGCCCCCAACGCCCCGCCCTCCGCCCGCCTCCACCTGCGCCCCCCACCTGCGCCCCCCGCCCTCCGCCCGCCTCCACCTGCGCCCCCGTCACCTGGAGCCGGAAGCGCCGCGCCGCCCGGTCCATCGTGTCCAGGGCCGCCCGCTGCTTCCGCCGCGCCCGGGCCACCGCGCCCCGCGCCGTCCGGCGGCCGGACCAGCGCAGCGCCACGGCGGCCGCCACCACGCAGCAGGCCAGGGCGGCCCCCGCGCCGGTCAGCTCGGCCCACGGCCCGTCCAGCACCATGGCCCGCCGCGGCCCAGCCCGAGACGCGGCCGCACGCGCGGGCCCCGCCGCCAACCCGGCCCGGATCGGTCGGTCGCGGCCGCGGCGCCCCGCAAGCGCGGGGCGGGCGCGGGGCGGGCGCGGGGCGGGCGCGGGGCGGGCACCGGGGAGGGGCCGCGGTTGCCGGGCAGCGGGCGTGGGTCGCCGGCCCCAACGGCCGGGGAGCTCGCGAGGGGCCGCCGCGGTCACTCCGCGTCCTCCGAGCTGCACCCGCCGGGGCGCGAGGACGCCCCGAGGCCACCCCCGGTGCCAGGACCCGGCCGCGTTGCGCGTCCCGAGCGCGCCGGGAAGAAGCTGGAGCCGCGACGGGAGGGACCGACCCCACGGAGCCCCACCGGTTAGCATCGGAGTTCCTGGGCATCCCCAGGGCGCCGACCCCCCACCCCTCTCACACCCACACCCCCACCCCACCCCCGCAACTGACCCTGGAAGTTTCTGCTGCCCCCAATCTTTCCTTTACCTAAAAGGAGGATCCCTGTCTCTGCACTTGGACTTGCCCTGGTGCACAAACCACAGTCACTGGCCTTTACTCAGCCGTGGCCCGCAAACTGATCCTCTTGGGGGTCACGTTTTCGCAGTCCTGGTGTGGGTGGGACCCAGGAAGCAGAAAGAATGAAGAGGACCAGAGGAAGATCTGGAGTCCCCTCTGGGACAGCCGCGTGGATTACACACACACACGCACACACACGCACACAAGCACACCCTCTCATATACACCACACACACAACCTTTACACACCCTCTTAGGATTTTATCTATTTAATTATTTTTGCTTTTTGGGTCATACCCAGTGATGCTCAGGGGTTCCTCCTGGCTCTGTACTCAGGAATGACTCCTGGCGGTGCTTGGGGGGGGTGCCAGGGATCGAACCCAGGTTGACTGTGTGCAAGGCCAACGCTCTACCCTCTGTACTATCGCGCTGGCCCCTGATTTTATTTCTGTGCTCTTTGGTTTGTTCTGGAGCCCTGCCCTGCTGTTTTCGGGCTCCCGTGGCCTGGAGTGAACCCAGGCCTCTGGCATATGAACATGTGCTGAGCCACTTAGCTCTTTCTCCAACCCTGTGTTTATGTGTTTTATCTCATCTGTCCTCCAGACCTTGAAATCGGCAGTTTTTTTATCTTCATTTCATTGATTAGATAACTGAGGACAAAAGGTATTAAATGACTTTTATGTAACCCAAAGGTGCCTAAGTAGGAATTTAAACTCTGGTTTAGAACCGGGGAGATGGTCCAAAAGGCTGGAGCACTGGCTTTACATGTGGGAGGCCTGGGTTCGATCCCTGGCACGGCAAGGTCCTCCCAGAACCTCTCGGCATCCCCCAAGCATCTCTGAGCGTGATCCCCAAGCACCACCCATGTCATCCCAAAAGAACTCAGGTCTAAAGTGAAGCCATTGCTCTAAACCATAAAGGAGCAGTACCAGTACTGTCCTCAGTAGCCGGAATTTGTGGACTGAGGACCAGGAAAGAGCTTTGCAACAAAAACATGGGCTAACACAGAAAGACGCCCTGCTGAAGAGTGGAAAGGGCGCTTGTCTTGCACGTGGCCAACCTGGGTTCGATCCCGGTACTCCATATGGTTGGTCCCCTAAAGCCCCCCACCAAGAATGATCCCCGAATGCAGAATCAGGAGTAAGCCCTGAACAGTCAGGTGGGCCCCTCCCCTCCCCCTCGCCTCCCCACCACACAAAAGTGGGATAAGAGCAGAGCAGACGCTTCCTCAGAGAAGACATGCAGATACACGTGGGGGGCAGGAGACTCTGCCTTGTTCTCTTCCGGGAGCTTGGGGGGGAAAAAGTATGAATAATTTAAAAAAATTAAAAATAGAATTCCTGTCACCAGCAATTCTATACCTTGGCATCTGTCTCAAGAGAATAAAAACACTAATGCAAAGATAAACAGGTGCCAGAAAGAGAGTACAGTGGGCAGGACACTTGCCTTGAAGCAACCGACCCGCATCCATTCCCCAACACCTCATATGTCACCCCAATCCCTGCCAGGGGTAATCCCTGAGCACAGCCAGGTGTGACCCCCCAAAAAGAGATAGATGCATGACTATGTTATTTGAAGTGCTATTTATAACTTGCGGGGGAGGGTTGTCTGAGGCATATCCAGCTGCCCGTAGGGCTTATGTGGATCTGTACCCAGGGATCACACTCCCGGCAGGGCTTAAGGAATTACCTGGGGTGCTGGGGAGCAAACGTGGGTTGACCATGTACGAAGCAGAAGCTTTACCCACCGCACGATCTCTTTGGCCCAGCAGCGTTATTTACAAAATCTAAGATCTGAAAACAAAGACAGGATCTGTACAATGACAGATGGATGAGCGGATCAGAAAATCGTGCTTATACGCAATGGAGTGGTCCTCCCTCGGCTTTTTAAAAACTGAAGTTCTGCCTTTTGCTATACTTGGATGAAACTAGAGGGGGTCTTGCTAAGTGGAATATCAGAGGAAGAAGGACCCCGGTATTAAATGTTAGAGGAAAAGGAACCTGCTTTGTGGCTGGAAACCCCGCTGAAACACACAGCAACCATCTGCAGTTTTCTTCACCTCTCTTACCTCTGAAAGGAAGGGGATGATCATCCTGCCACTGGATGGTCTCAATCACGCACAGGAAACAAAACAAGGGGGTGTGTAAGTGTACAATGAAAACAAACCTTTGGACTATGACAAGAGAACCGAGTTACCTAATTGTGGGGGACAAAGATTTAGGCCAGGGCTGGAGAAACAGCAGAGCAGGTAAGGGTTTGCCTTGCACACGGCAGACCCGGTTCCACCCCCGGCATCCCAGATGGACCCCCAGCACTGTCAGGGATAATTCCTGATTGCAGAGCCAGAAGTAACCCCTGAGCGCCACCAAGTGTGACGCCCCCCCCCCAAAAAAAAAGAGAGAAAGAGAGATTCAGATCAGGGAGGGAAGGGACAGAGCAGAAGTGACAAAAAGAACGGAGTCAGAGCAATAGTGCAGTGGGTAAGGCACTTGTCTTGTACCAGTCAACCCGGATTTACTCTCTGGCATCTCATATGGTCCCCGAGCTTTGCCAAGAATTATTCCCGAGTCAAAGCCATGAGTAACTCCTAAGCACTGCCAGGTATATCCAGAAAGAAAGAAAGAAAGAAAGAAAGAAAGGAAGGAAGGAAGGAAGGAAGAAAGGAAGGAAGGAAAAGAAAAGAAAAGAAAAATAGAAAATGGTGGAGGTTCTTTGGCACATTGCTAGACTTACTGCTGGCTCTGCTCTCAGGGATCACTCCTGGCAGGGCTGGGGATGAAACCCAGTTCAGTGACATGCAGGGCAAGCACGCTGGCCAACTGTACTCTTGGCCTATTAATGTCGATGAAGTTTCAGTAATTTTGTACACCAAAAGCATAAACATTACTCAGATGCCACACCCAGTTGTCTTCACCTCAATTAACTTTGAAAGGGAGGATACTAGATTCCTTCCACACAGTATCATCGGGCATCTCTGGGACCCTTGACCTGGCATATAGTAGACCCTCCATAAATCACTGACTAACTGATAAATCCATCTGATTTTTCTTCCTCCCAAATATCTTTGATTCTTCTTCTTTTTGCAACACACAGTGCCCACCTAGTGTGCTCTGTGGTTACTCCTGACTCTCTGCTCAGGAGAAACCTCTGGTTGTGCCAGAGACTCAAACTGGGGTGGCAAGACATGAGACTTTAACCCCGTCCTCTCTCTCTCTGGCCTCTATTGTAATTTTATTTTGCACAATAGTACCAACACGTATGAATGTTGATGTTGGAAGAATTCAGACCTGAAGACGGTGAATCACGCTCTGATTCTTAAGTATGTTAGGGAGGAAGCAGGCCTGGTATTTTATTTCTTTGGGGTTTTTTTGATTGTTCGGGGTCACTGCAGCAGTGCTGGGGGTGGTGTGAGAGGGTGTCCTCATGGCTTGTTGCTCGAGGTATGCTCGTAGCCTTCCTCAGGATCAATACAAGGCATCTTTGCATGCGAGGCATGTGCCCCACCCCTGAGGTCTGGTGTCTCTAAGTCTTTTTTCATTTGTTTCATTTGGGGGGCAACACCTGGCTACGCTCAGGGATTACTCCCGGCTCTGCACTCAGGAATTGCTTCTATAGCTGCTTGGAGGACCATGTGGGATGCTGGGTATTGAATCTGGGTCTGCCGCATGCAAGGCAAGTACCCTATGTGTTGGGCTATCTCTCGGGCCCCTGCATTTCTTTTTTTTTTTTATTAAAAAATTTTTTAATAGTGAGACATCATGAGGTACAGTTGCAGACTTACACATTTTTGTGCTGGGTTTCAATTACACAACGGTCAAATACCCATCCCTCCACCAGTGCCCATTTCCCACCACCACGGATCCCAGTGTCCCTCCCACCCCCCATCCCCCCCATCCCACCCAGTCTCTGTGGCAGGGCTTTCCCCTCTGTTCTCTCTCTCCTTTTGGGTGGTTTGCAAAAGAAACATTGAGTTGGCCCCTGTACTTCTGTCCTTAGTTCTGTTTAGTGCCTGAGTTCCTACTCAGCACTGATGACTCTAAGTATCAAATTTTGCACCTCAGTTTCCCTGGAAGAGGATAGCTGGCAGAAGGCTAATCTGTAGGAGTTTTTCACTGGTTTCTTTTTTTTTTTTGGTGGGGAGGGGAAGGGTCACACAAACGGTGCTCAGGAACTACTTCTGGATCAGGCTGCATTTCCACTGGTGCTCTGGGAGCCACGGGATGCTGGGGATTGAACTGGGAGTCTCCTGCATGCAAAGCAGGTGCTCCAGCACATTGAGGTATTACTCAGGCCTCCGAAGTAGATCCTTCCCCAGCTCTATTTTGGGGGTTGGGAGGGCCACACCCAGCAGTGCTCAGGACTTACTCCTGGCCCTGCAATCTGGAATTACTTCTGGCAGGAGTTGGGGTACCCTCTGGGGTGCTGAGAATCAAACCAGGGGTTGGGCTCTTGGGAGGCAAGCACCCCAATCGTGGTACGCTGCTTTGTTGCTCCCGCCCTCCGTCTCTTGCTGGGAACCAAGGG